AGCATTTCTGGATGAATGTTTTGATTAGTTTGTTTGTAATAACATTAGTCATTACATGTTAAGGAATTTTTACATTTAGTGTCTGTTTCATGATTGATTTTTGGAGTGATAGATTCGTGCGAAAGTAATAGCCTTATGTTATGGCTGCTCCCAACTTACGGGGCTTGCGAGCAGTTCAAATTAGTTGAATCTTTCTTTGTTTCATTTTTTGCTGTTGTGGTTTGCAGTGTGTTGATTCACTGTCTGGTCAATTCAATTTATATTATTTATATAAGTTAATAAAATATTCTCCTCGTTTTAAAATAAGTAATGTTTGTACCTTAGGAGTTAGGTATATCCCTTAAAAAAACTAATCATTCTTAGAAAATAAGGAGTGTTTTTACTAATTTACCCCTAATTAAATGCCTTGGAGAAAGAAATGATTCTTTAATGATGTAAAACATCATGTATTAAAACAAGGGTTATTTTGGAAGAGTACAATCAATTCTTTCTCCTTCTTTTTTTACACGCTTCGTCCGAAGCCTCAGCTAACTCCGAATTGCGCACTCTAGGGTCCATTTGGGGTGTCCGAAGCCCTGACTAACTCCGGATTGCGCACTCTAGGGTCCATTTGGGGGTGACAGTCCAACCATGTTAAGGTGAATCAGTCCCATCACTGCACCACAACCATGTTAGTAGATCAGTTCTTTCTTGAAATCTTAAAATACAAATTATTTTAGAATGGAGAAAGTACCAACTAACCTAATACATGAATCTTACTATTCCCTCCGTCCATTATTACTTGTCCATGTTTGACGTAACATATCCCTTGAGAAATAACAAGTAAAATGATAATTTTACTATATCTCCTCTATTAATTATTAGTCATCTATGATACCGTATTAATAGTACGATTTCATAACAAGAGTAAAATAGACACAATTTCATATTTACTAACTTGACTAATATATGATCTCACCACGAATAATTCAAAAGTACCTTTTCATTCTACCTTGTTTTTCTCCCACCCGATATTTAGTATTCGTATTTCACTTATACCCGAAACTCAAATCCGACCCGGTAATATACTATTATGTATTTTCCTAATTTCTCTCTCTCTCCAAACCCCATGCCCTAGATTAGGATAAAACTCTTAAAAATTTACAAATTCGGCATAAGGTGTTTGACAAAATTCCGAAGAGAAAAAGGCAATTCTTCTTCCTTGGTAAGCTTTAAATCCTTTTCCACTATAATTTGGTTATTTTTCTGTATTTTTATCATTTCGTTTCGTTTTTTCGATGAACTTACAATCTCTGAAAATAAGTGTATTGGGCGAATTTAGGATTGTTAGAATATAAATACACCAATGAAAATGAAGAAAATGTATTAAGCGGAAATTGATCCCGACTCATCTAGGTAAATAACTCAACATTTTCAATCAAGTGTACCATTTAGTTTTTTACGAAGAGACCATGGGTTTACGTGCCTGGTAATTAGCATATAAATTCACCCCTGGACTCTTAGTTGTTGGTTTCCTTTTGGGTGTGTGTGTATGTTCTTTAAGTTGATAAAAGTCACTTCCTTTTTGTAGTTTTTAGTTTCAAAGCATAAGAAGCTATTTAAGTTTGTCCCAAAAATCTTACAAAGATAGTGTTTTTTGGATGGTTCAGATTCCAGTGGTGTCAGAAAATATTATAGGTGATTTCTTCGTATCTGCTTAAGGCTGACGGTAGAGATACCAGATATATTTATTGGTGAGAGGTAGCAGGTACGTAGTAGCATAGTTGAGTTTCGTGCAAGTTGGCATAGGGAAGGTTTTAACCTGCTTACTCGATTTTTTCCCCACGTGTACTGCGACTTAGAACTCTTTGGAGTGTGATGTTCATGTAGCATGTCATATTCCTCCAGGGGTATTTTAATATGTAATTGTGGTAGTTCATAGGGGTTCTGTGAGGGATGAATAATTTTGGTTTGAAACTTGCGAAATGGTGATAGTTTAAGATATTTTAATATGTCATATTCCTTCCCAGGGGTTATTTTAATATGTAAATTGTGGTAGTTCATAGGGTTCTGTGAGGGATGAATAATTTTGGTTTGAAACTTGCGAAATGGTGATAGTTTAAGATATTTTTAATATGTCATATTCCTCCAGGGGTATTTTAATATGTAATTGTGGTAGTTCATAGGGTTCTGTGAGGGATGAATAATTTTGATTTGACACTTGCGAAATGGTGATAGTTTAAGATATTTTTAACCTAAGTCCTTTAGCTTTCCCCTTGTTTTCTTCTTCAGAAAATTGAGGCTAATTCTTTTCCACTCACTGTGTGTATATGTGTTTCTATGTCGTGTCGAACTTGAGGAGTGAAAATTGGGGGTCTTTAGTTTTCTCTTTGTGTGTATAATTTCTAAATATTGTTTTTCACTTACATTCTTCTTTGTAATTGTTAAGGAAATGATCAAATGGTTCAACATAACCTATTACAGTTTGAATAGAAGATTTGAATACAAAAATATTTCCTATGTTGATTTGGCATTGCTTATAGCCGCTCTGTCTAGATTGATTAGAGATTCCTTACTTCGTGTTATTGTCCAGTTACTACATGTTCTTGGTGATTATTGTTGGGAGTGTTCCTTTCGTTCTTATGTTGATTTGACTATATGTATAGTTGTTATGTCCAGATTAGTTGGAGAGACCTTATTTCATACTATTGCTTATTTTCTACAGCTTCTCAGTGATCATTGTTATATGATGCCTCCTAAGGCAAGAAAGCTTCGTCGAAGTCTAGTTCCCGATGCCCTTAGCTACCTCCCTGATAATATAATTGATGTCATTCTGATGTGTTTGCCTTCTAAAGATGCTGTGAGAACAAGCATCTTATCAAAGAAATGGAGGTATCACTGGTGTCGACTTACAAAGTTGGAGCTTGATGAATCTCTTTGGATAACAAAGAAGGATTTACTGAACCCTACAATAAAATTTAGAAAGATTATGTACCAGTTTTTGAGCCTTCATGAAGGACCCATCACTAGGTTTACCCTTGATGTTGTTCATCTAGCAAGCTGTCCTGAGATTGACAACTTCATATATTTCCTCTCGAGGAATGACATTCAACATCTTGCTCTTCACCTTCCACTTAGAAAGGAATACAAATTGCCTTCCTTACTTTTCGCATGTTCGCAGCTGAGGCATCTAAGTCTTTGTTATTGCTCAATACAACATCCATCAGCCTTTCAAGGATTTGATAAGTTAATTAGCTTGAATTTATGTGAAGTCAATATTTCTTCTGAGTTACTGGAAAGTTTAATATCTCATTGCCCGTTGCTTGAGGAGTTGGAGCTGGATATCGCAAACAAGTCAGACACAATTGAAATTAATGCCCCCATGTTGAGGTCGTTCGATCTCTCAGGCAATATAAGTTCTGTCTGCCTAAAGAATGTCCCTCGTCTGGTAAAAGTATTGCTCTATGGTGACTATATTAAAGCAGAGGATCTTGATTTTGCAAAGCTTTTCGAGTGTTGTCCTGCTCTCGAGCACCTCCTCTTTTTCTCCCTTGATTCCGGGGTAAATATTGCTTGATGACTTCATTATTATAACTTTAGTGGATGAAATTTCATTTGGGCTGACTTAATCTTGATTTTCGGTAATTGTTTCCTAGTTCTCTGCTGGAGCAGGATATGAAGCACCAACAAGACTTCCGTTTAATCTTAACAGCGTCAAACGATTTACCCTGCCTGACATTATGCTGGTGGAATCATATAAGCTCTCATATGCTCTTTGCTTGATAAGAAGTTTCCCATATTTAGAATATCTCGAAATACAGGTTCTTAGTACTTCGGCTCTTCTAATTTCTTTCTTTCTTTCTTTCCTCAATAATATATGAGTTAACTTCTTGTTATCTTTCTTAGGTTCATGAATATGGATATGACTATGAAGATGAAGATGATGAGGATGAACCTATTCCAGAACCCCTTGAGCTCAAACATTTATCGGATGTGACATTTAATCACCTCAAGGAAGTTAAGCTAGGCTGCTTAACAGGAACAACGTCTGAGTTGCTGCTTATCAAATTTTTGTTAGCCGAGTCCCCAGTGTTGGAGAGAATGCTAATCGATCGACAGTATCTTGATCATGAACAGCTCGACACAAGATTACAAATATTCGCAGATATATCAAATTTTTCGCGGTCATCACCTAAAGCAGAAGTTGTCTACATAGATTTAGGCGGATCTTTGGCTTAGAAGTTAGAAGTCTGAAAAGAGAAACAAACGTGATGTAGTAGTATGACACACTTGTTTATTTCTCTACTTGATCAATTGCATATATGGCACAACTTGAAGGTAATGAAGAGGATGTTTTTTTTGGTTTCTTTGGCTTATTGAGATTAATGTGTATAATTAGGTGACATCTTTTAAGTGGTTAGTGTATCTACGTAATGGGCACTTGAGAACACAAGCATATCCCCCAATCCCCTCCCCCAAAGTTAAGTTGAAAGTATAGTATGAATAATCATGGGTTTATTAGGTACTCAATTAAAACATAATATAGTTTAAGTGTTTAAATGCAATTTACTAACAAGTTTAATGGATTGATAATCAAAGGTATTGGATTTAAGCTTTAGGTATGAAGTGTCTTCGTTGGCCATTTCACCTGAAATGTGAAATTTGTCAACACAAATCCGAGTATAGTCGCCTCTCATGTGAATATTTCTGGTAGGAAAAGAGAACAATGATGTTGAAGTGCGTTTTGGTAAATAATTGGTAATAATTCAGATAGAAAAATAAAAATATCAAAATAATTTTGGTTGTGTTTTTGACCTTTTCACTCTTTTAGAAATAAAAAAGTACAAATATACCCTTCAAAACAATTAAATAGATCCAAATATACCCCTACTTACTTCTACTTCAGCCTATTTCATTTTACTTGATCTCTATTCACCTAACACACTATTTGAGAAGTTTTAAATTAAAATGTTTTCTTTTTCGTTTTACCGTTTTCTTTCCACCGTTATTATATCCATGACTCCAACCCGACACTCGTGTTTTAATGTTAAAAAGTATAAAATCACTTTCTTTGTGAATATATAAAGTACTTCCCCAACTCCCTCTCTCCCTCCCAAGCCCCATGCCCTAAATTAGGATAAAACATTTGAAATTTACAAATAGGGCATAAGGTGTTTGACAAAAGTCCAAAGAGAAAAAGGGCTGATTCCTTGGTAAGCTTTAAATCTTTTTCCACTATAATTTGGTTATCATTTCCCTCTTTTGATGAACTTACAATCTCTGAAATAAGTGTATGTATCTTCTTATGTTTCAATACTCTGTGTTTAAGACTTGGAGGCGAATTTATGATTTTTAGAACATGGGTACACTAGTAAAAAAGAAGAAAATGTATTAAGCATGGACTGATCCCAACTTGTCTAGGTAAATAACTCAACATTTTCAACCAAGTGCACCATTTAGTTTTATGAAGAGACCATGGATTTATGTGTCCTATAATTAGCATATAGATACGCTCTTGGTTTAGTTGTTGGTTTCCTTTTGGTATTTGTATGTGTTTGTTAAGTCAATAAAAGTTACTTCCTTTATGTAGTTTTTGGTTTCAAAGCATAAGAAACTATTTATGTTTGTCCGAAAAATCTTGTAAAAATATTGTTTTTTGGATGGTTCAAATTCCAGCAGAGTCAGGTGGGGGGTGTAGTAGTGAGATACGTGTGCTGATGGGAGGTAGCAGGTACATGGTGGCATAGTGGAGTTTAGTGCAAGTTGGCATAGGGAAGGTTAATTTAACATGTTCACTCAATATCTTTTCCACGTCTACTGCGACTTAGAACTCTTTGGAGTGTGGTGTTCGTGTAGCATGTCATATTACTCCCGGGGTATTTTAATATGAAATCATGATAGTTCATAGGGTTCTGTGAGGGACGAATAATTCTGGTTTGGTACTCGCAAAATGGTGATAGTTTAAGATATTTTTAACCTATTCACTCTTTTTCTTTACTGTTATAGGAGTCTTTTAGCCTTCCCCTTGTTTTCTTCTTCAGAAAATTGAGGCTAATTCTTTTCCACTCACTGTGTATATCTGTTTCTATGTCGTGTCGAACTTGGGAGTGAAAATTGAGGGTCTTCAGTTTTCTGGCGTGTACTGTATAAAGTAACTCTCTTTCTCTGTCGTGTTCCCAGTGCACCTCTTCTCATTCTCATCGTCATCTCACATAAACTCGAAATCAAGAAAAAAATGAGCATCAAGGGTGAATCATTGTACATTATCATAGATTTATGTGCCAGAGAACTTGTAATATTGCTTTTTAGAGTTAATGGTAAAACACACACCTAAACTATAACTTTTTCGCAAGTTTCACACCCCAACTATTGGTTGTTCCCTTTTTCTACATGGACTTCCACTATCTATGTCTTAAAACACATCTCAAAGATGTTTAAGCCAACTATCAGTTGTTCCCATTTCCTGCTTGAACTATCACCATCTACACAACTAGGTGTGTTTTAATACATTAATGGTAATAGTTAAGGTAGGAAAAGGGAACACCTAATAGTTGAGGTGTAAAACTCGCGAATAAGTGATAGTCAAGTGTGCTTTTGATCACTACCATTATTTTTTACTTTTTTTTTTTTTTTTTGGCATAATGATGGCATGAGGTGAGTTTAAAGGTAGAAACATGGTCAGTGAGGATTCATATACCCAATCCTGGCTTATTTGGGATTGAGGCGCAGTAGTTGTTGTTAATCCACCAATATAATTATGAAGTATTGATGAAAGGTGTTCATGTTAAGAATGCCATTAATGGATATCAAGAGATATACATGGATTTATTTATTGGTAAATGTTGACACTGTTATCATACCATATGGGTATTTATGGTTAAGATTAACAAATTTTTATTTCCTATGTTGATTTGGCATTGTGAATAGCCGTCTGTCCAGCTAATGTGAATAGTTGTTATGTCCACATGGAGATACCTTACTTCATATTATTGCTTACTTTCTACAGCTTCTTGGTGATCATTGTTATATGATGCCTCCTAAGGCAATAAAGCATCGTCGAAGTGTACTTCCCGATGCCCTTAGTTACCTTCCTGATAACGTAATCGATATCATTCTGATGCATTTGCCTTCTGAAGACGCTGTGAGGACAAGCATCTTATCAAAGAAATGGAGGTATCACTGGTGTAGACTTACAGAGTTGAAGATTGATGAATCTCTTTGGAAAACAGAAAAGGATTTTCTGAACCCTACAGTTAAATTTACAAAGATCATGTACCAGCTTTTGAGCCTTCATGAAGGACCCATTACTAAGTTTACCCTCTTTGTTGTTCATCTAGCAAGTTGTCCCGAGATCGACAGCTTCATATATTTCCTCTCGAGGAATAACATTCAACATCTTGTACTTAACCTTTCACTTAGAAAGGAATACAGATTGCCTTCTTCACTTTTCTCATGTTCGCAGCTGAGGCATCTAAGTCTTTGTTTTTGCTCAATACAGCATCTATCAGCCTTTCAAGGATTTGATAAGTTAATTAGCCTGAAATTATGTGAAGTCAATATTTCTTCTGAGTTGCTGGAAAGTTTAATATCTCATTGCCCGTTGCTTGAGGAGTTGGAGCTGGATATCGCAGACAAGTCAGACACAATTGAAATTAATGCCCCCATGTTGAGATTGTTCGATCTCTCAGGCAATATAAGTTGTGTCTGCCTAAAGAATGTCCCTCGTCTGGTAAAAGTATTGTTGTATGGTGACTATATTAAAGCAGAGGATCTTGATTTTGCAAAGCTTTTCGAGTGTTGTCCTGCTCTCGAGCACCTCCTCTTTTTCTCCCTTGGTTCCGAGGTAAATATTGCTTGATGACTTCATTATTATGCACTTTAGTGGATGAAATTTCATTTGGGCTGACTTAATCTTGATTTTCGGTAATTGTTTCCTAGTTCTCTGCTGGAGCAGGATATGAAGCACCAACAAGACTTCCGTTTAATCTTAACAGTGTCAAACGATTTTACCTGCCTGACATTATGCTGGTGGAATCATATAAGCTCTCATATGCTCTTTGCTTGATAAGAAGTTTCCCGTATTTAGAATATCTCGAAATAAAGGTTCTTAGTACTTCGGCTCTTCTAATTTCTTTCTTTCTTTCTTTCCTCATTAATCTATGAGTTGACTTCTCGTTATCTTTCTTAGATTCATGAATATGGATTTGACTATGAAGATGAAGATGATGAACCTATTCCAGAACCCCTTGAGCTCAAACATTTATGGGACGTGACATTTAATCACCTCAAGGAAGTTAAGCTAGGCTACGTATCAGGAACAACGTCTGAGTTGCTGCTTATCAAGTTTTTGTTAGCCGAGTCCCCAGTGTTGGAGAGAATGCTAATTGATCGACAGTATCTTGATCTTGAACATCTCGACACAAGATTACAAATTTTCGCAGAGATATCAAATTTTTCGCGTGCATCACCTAAAGCAGAAGTTGTCTACATAGATTTAAGCAGATCTTTGTCTTACGAGTTAAAATATTGAAAAGAGAGAAACAAACGCTGATGTAGTAATATAACAGTGTTTATTTCAATGTTATGTGGTGGGGTTCCAATGTGTTGATTCTCTACTTATCAATTGCATTTATCTAAGTAATAAGCACTTGAGAACATAGACATACTTTTTTCCCCACAATTTGAGCCAAAAGTGTAGTATGAATACTTTATCATACGTTCAGGTACTTGATTAAGTGCTTAAATGTAATTTAGGCAAGGTTCGAGTTATGTCATGTTGTGGGGTCGTAGTATGTTGATTTTTTATTTGATTGATTGCATTTATCTACGTTATAAGCACTTGGGAATACACATATATGTTTTTCCATAATTTGAGCTGAAAGTGTTGTATGAATACTCTATCATACGTTTAGGTACTTAATCAAGTGCTCAAATTTAAATTACTTTAATGGAGTGGTAATCAAGAGTTTCAGGTTAAAGTATTAGTGAACATTTTGCCCACAATGTAGGGATTTTTTTTCAATGTGAATCCAATTTTTGTCGCCCCAATGCAAATACACACGTTAAATGTGATCCAATACAAAAAGATTTTTCATTTGCTTAGATCTAATACTTATTTTGTTTACTTTTGTCCACAATGAACTTCACCGTTCGTTTAAGAAAATAATAAATGAAGTGCTTATATCTACCATAATACCCCTAACTAATATAATTGGGAAGTAATTTTTGGGAATTGCTAATAGTTCACATAAAAGAAATAAAAAGTAATAATAATTCGAATACAAATAGCCAAAAAAAATATAAATTAGTATAAATTTTGGCCGAAGAGAAGTAGGGGCATAAGGTGTTTGACAAAAGGCCAAAGAGAAAAAATGGCGCATTCCATCATCAACTATATTGTTGCATGTAACCTTTAAATCTTCTTCCATTATATTTTTTCTGTGTTTTTATCATTTCTTTCCATTTGGGTATGTGTATCTGTTGTTAAATCAATTAAAGTTACTTCCTTTACATAGTTTTTTGTCAAAGCATAAGAAGATATTTACGTTTGTCCCAAGAATCTTAGTGTTTCTTGAAGGTACAAATTCTTGCTGAGATAGTGTGATTCTGGTTTCTATGGAGGCTAACTCTTAGGGTGTGTTTTTAGTACAATGGTAAGTGGGGTTCTTTCCTATTATGTGTTATTAAGTAAATAAGCAGAAAATATTGTTCCAAAAACGTGTGTATATTATCTAGAGAAACACCATTGGGTTGGTATGGGGGGAAGGGGGAGTTGGGGTTAGGGGTAGGCAGTAGCAGATCTAGGATTATCATTAAGAGGTGTCAATGGTTGTAGTAAAAAATATAATTATGAGACTAGTAGGGTTTGAACTTTGAAGATACGACCTCAGGAATTTTCGAAGCACCTTAACCACTATATTAAACTTTTAACTTGTGTCAATACTTGTATATATGTTTATTAAACCAAAATTTGACCTCTATATACAATGTAATTTTCCGACTACACCCCTTACCCAAGGGTGGGTCCGCCCCTGGGGTAGGGGTGGGGTGTGCTGGAAGGTGAGTATTAGACAATTAGTGTGGATTGACACTTATAAAAGTTGTTTTCCCTACTTTCACTAGGGAAGTCATTTTCCTCAATTTTATGTTTCACTAGAGAAAATGTTTTCCAAACTTTTGACCAACTTAACAGGAGAAAATTGGAAACTACATACCAAACACACCCTTAATGGAAGGTGTTCATTCTGTGAGAATGCAAGTAATGGATATTAAGCTATGTTACATGGATTTCCTTACTGGTACATACTCAGTCTGGGTATGTCAAGTGTATTTTTCCTTCTGATTTTTGGTGTTTCTTGAAGAATCTGCACGAAATACCCAAGCTAATATCCTGCCGTTCAATATGGGTATCTCAAGGCAAATTGCAACATAGGTATTAAAAGGAGATAGTTGACTGATTTCAACAAGAATGCACCTTAATTTGTTATGTTAGTTTGACCATGTGAATAGATGTACTATCCAGATAGTTTGAGAGTCCTTACTTCGTATTATTGTTTATCACTACAGAATTTTAGTGATGAGTAATGTAAGTGTTCTTTTCGTTCTTATGTTGATCGGAAAATGTGTATAGAAATTCCATCCACATTATTTGGAGATCCTTACTTTGTATTATTGCTTATTTTCTACAGGTTCTTGGTGATTTTTGATATATGATGCCTCCTAAAGGCAGAAAGCATTGTCGAAGTTTACTTCCTGACGTTCTTAGCTACCTTCCTGATAATATATCCGATGTCATTCTGATGCATTTGCCGTGTAAAGATGCTGTGAAAACAAGTATCCTATCAAAAAAATGGAGGTATCACTGGTGTAGACTTACAGAGTTGAAGCTTGATGAATTTCTTTGGAAAACAAAAAAGGATATACTGAACCCTACAGTTAAATTTACAAAGATCATCTACCAGCTTTTGACACTTCATGAAGGACCCATTACTAAGTTTACCCTCAATGTTGCTCATCTAGAAAGTTGTCCTGAGATCGACAACTTCATATGTTTCCTCTCGAGAAATGACATTCAACATCTTGTACTTCACCTTCCACTTGGGAAGATGTACAAATTGCCTTCTGCACTTTTCACATGTTCGCAGTTGAGGCATCTCAATCTTCATAATTGCTCTATACATCATCCATCAGCCTTTCAAGGATTCAATAAGTTAATTAGCCTGGAACTATGTGGAGTCACAATTTCTTCTGAAGTGCTGGAAAGTTTAATATCTCATTGCCCGTTGCTTGAGCAGTTGGTACTGGATATCGCAGAAAATTCGAACACAGTTGAAATTAATGCCCCCATGTTGAGTTCGTTCAATTTCTCAGGCAATATAAGTTCTATATGCCTAAAGAATGTCCCTTGTCTGGTAAAAGCATCTTTGGAGTGTGACTATATTAAGGCAGAGGATCTTGATTTTGCAAAGGTTTTCGAGTCTTGTTCTGCTCTCGAGTACCTCCTCTTTAACCTCTTCAATTCCGGGGTAAATTCTGCTTGATGACTTCATTGTTATGCACTTTAGCAGATGTAATTTCTTTTAGGCTTACTTAATCTTGAATTTTGGTAATATTTTCTTAGTTCTTTGCTGAAGAAGGATTTGAAGTACCAACAAGGCTTCCCTTTGATCTTAACAGTGTCAAGCGATTTTACTTGCCTGATATTGTGCTGATTGAACCATCATATGAGCTCTCATATGCTCTTTGCTTGATAAGAAGCTTCCCATATTTAGAGTATCTCGAAATTAAGGTTCTTCTTAGTGCTTTCATTCTTTGCATAATTCTTAATCCTCAATAATATGAGAGTTGACTTCTTCTTATCTTTCTTAGGCTGACTGTGAGGATGAAGAGGATGATAGTATTCTAGAATGCTTTAAACTCGAACATTTCTCAAACGTGACATTTAATCACCTCAGGGAAGTTAAGTTGGCATGCTTTGTAGGAACCACACCTGAGATGCAACTCATCAAGCTTTTATTAGCCAAGACCCCTGTGTTGCTGAGAATACTAATTGATACACGTTATCTACATGATAAACCTCTTGACACAAGATCAAAAATATTTGCCGAGGTCTCAATTTTTTTGCGGGCATCACCTAAAGCAGAAGTAGTCTACAAAGATTTTTAAGTAGATCAATTTTTGGCTTAGAAGTTGAAATTGAAATGAGAGAAACAAAGGCTGATGTATAACAGTATATTTTGCTTGGGAACATGAGCATTGTTAGATGTATGTTTTGATTAGTTTGTTCTGTAATAACATTGTCCCTACATGTTTTAAGGATTTTTACATTTACTGCTTGCGCATGAATGAGTTACTGAATACGTATTACACATGAATTGACACTGTGATGGCTTATTGAGGCTGGTGCATATAATTAGCTTTGTGTTTGGAAGCTCTTGCCTGCTTGAACTATTGTTTCAACCAGGGGCAGAACTAGAGGTTGCCGTGGGGTTTCACCCGAACCTCCTCGGCAAAAAATTATGTGGTATATTTAGGGTATTTTTAAGAATTTTTATGTCTAAATATTGATTTTGAACCTCCTAAATATAAGATTATAGGTTGGTTTAGTGGTTGAGGGGTTCAAAACTTACCTTGAGGTTCCAAGATTGAGTCTTAGTCACTACTCTTTTTTTTTCCGAACCCCCTTAATGAAAATTGTGGATCCGCCACTGGTTTCAACCATTTATTGTTTAACTAACCCATGATTAGCAAAGAGCTGCAGAAACTATGATTAGGAGTTTGTTATAGAACCTATGAGATTGACAACTTCATATGTGGCCTACAAGATCTCGTTCTTCACCTTCCATTTAGAAAGATATACAAAATTGCCTTCTTCACTTTTCACGTGTTTGCAGCTGAGGTGTCTAAACCTTCATAATTGCTCAATACATCATCCATCGGCTTTTCAAGGTTTTGATAAGTTAATTAGCCTTGAACTATGAAGAGTCACAGTTTCTTCTGAATTGCTGGAAATTTTAATATCTCATTGCCCGTTGCATGAGCAGTTGATGCTGGATATCCCAAAAATTCTAAACATTATTGAAATTGATTCCCCCATGCTGAGATTGTTTGATTTCACTGGCAATATAAGCTATCTGCCTAAAGAATGTCCCTCTTCTGGTAAAAGTATTCTGGCAGGTTACGATATGAGGGGAGATGATATTGATTTCGCAAAGGTTTTCGAGTCTTGTTCTTCTCTCGAGCACCTCCTCTTCAAATTCCTTAATATCTGGGTAAATGTTGCTTCATGACTTCATTGTTATGCACTATAGCAGATCGAACTTCTTTTGGGCTAACTGATCTCGAATTTGTTTAAAATTTTCCTAGTTATTTGCTGAAGAAGGATATGAAGCACCAACAAGGCTTCCCTTTGATCTTAACAGTGTCAAACGATTTTACCTGCCTGAAACTATCCTGGTGGAGTCATATGATCTCTCTTTTTCTCTTTGCTTGATAATAAGTTTCCCATACTTGGAATATCTCGAAATTAAGGTTCTTAATGCTGACTCTTCTCTTTCTTTCTTATTTGTTGATTATTTTTCGTACTTTGTAGATCCTCTTGTAATCTTTCTTAGGTTCACTGTGGAGATGAAGAGGATGGTTGTATTCTAGAATGCCTTGAACTCGGACGTTTCTCAGATGTGACATTAAATCACCTCAGGGAAGTTAAGCTGGAATGCTTTGGAGGAACCACGATGCAACTGATCAAGCTTTTGTTAGCCATGTCCCCGGTGTTGGTGAGAATGCTAATTGATACATGTGTTCTAGATGATGAACCTCTTGACACGAGGTTGATATATTTGCTGAGGTATCAAAATTTTTGTGTGCATCACCTAAAGCAGTAGTAGTTTACATTGATTAATCAGATCACGACCTTTTGGTTAGAAGTTAAAAAATTTAAAAGAGAGACTCAAACATTGATATAGTAGGTATATAACTCTGTGTTTTACCTTGCCGTAAGCATTGTTGGATGGATGTTTTGATCAGTTTGTTCTGTAATAACAATGTCATACATGTTTAAGGATAATTACTTTTAGTGCCTGCTCTTGATTTTGTTATGGAAGATACACCCTGTTATCGGTAAAAATTTACATGGTCTGGATGTTTATATCAAACTAATAGATGCATTAAATTGAGGGCAAGTTTTTACCCTCTTGAATCCCTTAATTTCTTGTTTCTGAAAGTTTAAAGTATCCCAATTCACTAACAATGCAAGAAAATAAGGAAATGAATCATTAATTTTTTTGTTATAACCATCGATCTGGTATCTATTGGTCCGACTAATCATGATTGGTAAATACTACCTGGCAACAGCAGTCAATTAAACTTATTAGTAAGTGATATTGATTAAAGTTTTTGTTGATTTCAAAATCCTAAATTTTGGATAATAAATGTAAGTGATGATGTTTCCAAGATAAATTTTGTTTTTAAAAAGAAAAAAAGAAGATATTTTTGCTAGTCTTCCTATTTTTATGACGAGTAGGGAAAGAAATGAAAGATTTTCCATTTACCGACAAACTTATAGTGATCAACATGCATTGTGGTGGAATGGTTGAGTATCTCGGGTTTGAATCTTAGTTATGGAAAAATTTATTTTCAAGAAACAATCTTTTTTCCTATTTTACCCTTGAACATTTATTTCCTAATACCTTTACCAAGAGTTCTTGAAAATATAATGATCAATTTTAGCTATTTAATGCTTAATATTGGGATTGGCAGGCTTCACATCTCTCACTTCTTCTTCCTAAAGTTGCCCCTTGTGTTCCTCTCAAAATCTGAATTGTATGTTGTTGCTTTTGTGTGATCTTTTACTGTTTTTGTGGTATAAGTTAGTAGTTGAGTTTCCGTTGAAGTTCAGATTTTATGGTTTTGTGTTTATATACTTAGAAACACAAAGGAATGAGGATAGTTTTTAGTTAGCACAAAATAGAATCTGACTGATCTAATTGCAATTAGCTAGAATGCACCTTTATGTCGTCTTGTGTTGATTTGACAATGTGAATAACTGTTCTGTCCAAGATAGCTTGAAGATTCCCTTCTTCGTATTGTTATTTATTTTCTACAGGTTCTTGGTGATTCTTGTTATAAGTGATCATTCCGTTCTTTTGTTTATTTGAGCAGATAGAAATAGTATATATTTAGATTGTTCTGTAATGATATTGTCATTACATTAATGATTTGGAAATTATATTACTTCTGTTAATCACCAAAAGAGATCAATGCGAAACCACTTCTTAGTGTACAACTTAACTAGCTGTCTAAGTGATCAAAGCACAACCAGGGGAAAATACTTATCTGCCTCTAAGAAAAAAATGTGAAGAGGAAGGCTCACCTCTTTGTTATACATAGAATAGTCAACTTGTAATTCATTATCCTTAATTTTAAAATAAAAATAAAACAAGTATAGTCACATTGTAATTATTCTATCAAAATATGGACTACTTTACCAATGGCAGATGAAGTAGATAGGAATGTCCGATATGGTAGAATATTCATGTGGGACTTCCTCAGATTTTACACGTGTGATACATGTTTCTTCTATTTCTCCAAGTAAAGCTCGTCGCATCGCAATGCCTATTGTGCTGGTTTGGCGTTTCATAAGTGGACACAGAATAAAGCGTCCATAAAGTGTGTGCCAATAGGCCGGACATAGAAATACCTCACCCCCACCCCCACTCCCACCCGCACCCCACACATAATACACGCTATTTTCACTTGTCTCTTTCCCCTTCATCTAAATAAAACCCCTCACTGTCTCAATTCCTCTTTTCCTTCAACAGCTGAAGCACACAAAAAGGACAAGGGTATTTCAGATCAACCCCGAGTGTTGGTAAGCATCAAATCTACTTTAATTGCTGTTATGGTAGCTGAATTTATACAGGTTCTTTAGTTTTTTATTATGATCGTGGTGTTCGGGTCACGTTCGCCGTTTTGCACACCTTGGCTAATTTCACGGGATGCTAGGACAGATGGTTTTTTTTGCCTATGCTGGGATTTGAACCTGAGACCCATGGCTCTAGGGTTTCTTTCTTTTTAGCATTCCCTTGTTTTCTTCTTTAGAAAATTGAGGCTAATTCTTTCCCGCTCAACGTGTGTCTATGTGTTTCTATGTGCTGTGGAATTTGGGGACCGAAAATTGGGGATCTTTAGTCTCCTCTCTATGTGTGTTTACGTTTGAACTTGTGTTTTAAGTATAATTTCTTAATATTCTTTGTCACATACATTCTTCTATGTAATTGTTGAGGAAATGGTTCAACATAACCCTGCAAAAGATCTGGTTTTTTCTTCCTTACATATAAATATAAAGATTGTGGGACTGTACTTTGTATGTTGTTATAAATATAAAGATCTCTTATAGATTTGAAATGAAACTAATTTTTTTTTGCATTTGCAGTGATGAACTTGCTAAATTATGTCTGGAATTAGGAAAAAGTAACTTTTTTGTAATTTTAGTGTCTGCCTCTTTCTCCATTGTTTTGCTTGTGTGCTTCTTCTTGTTCTCATCGCCATCTTGGAGAGACTCAAAATCAAGCAGAAAATTAGACACCAAGGGTGAATGGTTGTAAATTGTCATAGGTTTATGAGTTAGTAAAAATATCGAGAACTTGTAATGTTTATTACTGAGTATCTTTTTATTTTATTTTTTTATTTGGTATAATGATGACATAAGATGGATTTAAATGGAGAAATATGGTCAGTGAAGACTCATATAGCCGACCTTGGCTTGTTTGTGACTGAGGAGTAGTAATTGTTATATTGGTGGAAGGTGTTCTTGTTGTAAGAATGGATAATGGATACTAATTTATATTACATTGATTTGCTTGTTGGCACATAATACATACCCATGTTGTTAATCGTACTATATAGCTCAAGGAAAATTAGAATATCTGTATAACATAGATATTACGTGGAGATAGTTGACTGATTTCAACAAGAATGCACCTTTATTTCCTATGTTGATTTGGCATTGTGAATAGCGGCTCTATTGAGATAGTTTGGAGATCCCTTTGTATTATTGTTTAGACTTTAGTTACTACAGGTTCTTGGTTATTATTGTTTGAAGTGTTCCTTTCGTTCTTATGTTGATTTGACAATGTGAATAGCAGTTCTGTCCAGATAATTTGGAGATCCCTTACTTTGTATTGTTGCTTATTTTTTCTTACAGGTTCTTGGTGATTATTGGTATATGATGCCTCCTAATGAAAGAAACCGTTGTCAAAGTTTAACTCCTGACATCCTCACTGACCTTCCTAACAATGTAATCGATATCATTCTGATGCGGTTGCCTTGTGAAGAAGCTGTGAGGACAAGCATCTTATCTAAAAGATGGAGGTATCACTGGTGTCGACTTACAAAGTTGACACTAGATTGGTCTCTTTGGAGAACGGAAAACGATTTACTGAACCCTACATATAAGTTTACAGAGATTATCTCCCAGATTTTAACCCTTCATGAAGGACCCCTGACTGACTTTACCCTTGAAGTTGATAATCTAGAAAGCTGCCCTGACATTGGCAGCTTCATATATATCGTCTTGAGGAATAATATTCAACGTCTTGTTCTTCACCTTCCAGAGGATAGCAAATTGCCCACGTCAGTTTTCACATGTTCGCAACTGAGGTATCTAAGTCTTCGTAATTGCTCAATACATCATCCATCGGCCTTTGAAGGATTTGATAAGTTAATTAGCCTCGAACTGTGTGAAGTAACAATTTCTTCTGAATTGCTGGAGAGTATTATATCTCATTGCCCGTTGCTTGAGCAGTTGATTCTGGATATCCCAAAACTTTTAAACACAATTGAAATTGATGCACCCATGCTGAGTTCGTTTGATTTCACAGGCAATATAAGTTCTATCTGCCTAAAGAATGTCCCTCTCCTGGTAGAAGTATCTCTGGCTGGTTACCAGATAATGGAAAAGGATATTGATTTTGCAAAGGTTTTCAACTCTTGTTCTGCTATTGAGTACCTCAGCTTGAATATCGCTTGTGTCTGGGTAAATGTTGTTTCATGACTTCATTGTTATGTACTTTAGCGGATGGAGTTTCTTTTGGGCTGACTAATCTTGAATTTTGCTAATTTTTTCCTAGGCATTTGCTCAAGGGGAATACGAAGCACCAGCAAGGCTTCCTTTTGATCTTAACTGTGTCAAACGGTTTGACCTGCTTGAACTTGCGCTGGTAGATGCATATGAGCTCTCATTGTCTATTAGCTTGATTAGAAGTTTCCCATACTTGGAATATCTCGAAATTGATGTTAGTAGTGCTGATTCTTCCCTTCCCTTCGCTTCTTTCTTATTTAGTGGTGTTTTTTCGTACTTTTTAGATCCTCAATAATCTGAGAAATGTCTTCTTTTTATCTTTCCTAGGTTTACCATGAAGATGAAGATAGTGGTACTAAAGAATCCGATGAACTCAAAGGTCTGTCAGACGTGACATTTAGTCACCTCAGGGAAATTAGGCTATACGCCTTTGTTGGAAGAACATCTGAGATGCAGCTTATCAAGCTTTTGTTAGCCAATTCCCCGGTGTTGGAGAGAATGCTAATTGATCGACGTCTTCTAGATGATGATTCTCTTGACACAAGACTAAAAGTATTCGCTGAGGTATCAAATTATTCGCGTGCATCACCTAAAGCAGAAGTTCTCTACGTGGATTGGATAAGATCACGTTCTTTGGCTTGGTGTTAAAATCAAAAAGAGAAACAAACGTCAATGTAGCAGTATATAACTGCTGTATTTTGCCTTGTCCTAATGTCTGTTCCAGAACATGAGCATTGCTAGATGGATGTTTTGATTAATTTGTTTTGCAACAACATTGTCATTACATGTTTAAGGATTTTTTTACATTTTCTGTCTCCACATGTTTGAGTTATCGATTTTTTTTAACCCGTCCCCAGGAGCTCCCACCTTTTCTCTCTTTGGTGACTCCAATCCACAACTGTAGGATTGGAGGTGGAGGATGCTTGAATTCCTTAGGGTTTGAGGTGGAGGATGCTTATCATCCGAGGAACTCCTCTTGTCAGTGTGACTTGCACATAAATTGACACTGGTGGTATATTTAGCCCAATGTGTGTGACTTACACATAAATCCCTTAACTTTCATCTATAGCCAGTCTCCTATATCTCCAAACTGGAAGCATTCGTGTATTTCCTCTTCGTATTTTTGAACTATCTCAATCTCATTTTCTACATTTTGTCCTCCATCGAGGCTTCAAATGGGAAATGTCGCATCGGTTAATTCTTTAATGTATACATTAAATTGCTAGTGGCCTAGTTGTTAAAGAAGTTGTTGAGAACTCTGAGGTCTCAGGTTCAAAACTCAGGCGGAGACAAAAAACACTATGTGATTCTTCCCATCTATCGTAGTTTTGGTGTGATAACTTATTATTGGTGAGAGGTGATAGATATTCCGCTATATACTTTTATATTTGGTAGTTCAAATTGCCTCTAAATTTACCTAAATTATTGTTAAATGCTTTAAATATGTTTTTACGAAATGATAAATCGTGTACATATCTAATAGCAAATACCTTAATTTGTACTATGTACTTTAGAAATTAAAAAGGTTCAAAATTACAATTGAAAATAATTAAAAACACTTATGTGGCTAGAACTGAATTATGAGACTAAATTACCTTAGGTAAAAAAAAAAGCTAATTTTGAGGTTTTCATTTACCCTAGCTAGAACTGAAACATTTCACAGAACTCAGAAGTAGAGGCATAAGGTGTTTGAAAAATGTCCAAAGAGAAAAAAGGCAGATTCCATCATCAATAATCTTCTTCCTTGGTTAGCTTTAAATCTTTCTTCCATTATTTTTTGGTTATTTCTCTGTGTTTTGATCATTTTCTTTCCCTTTTGGATGAACTTACAGTCTCTGAAACTAAGTGTATATATCTATCTTCTTCTGTTTCAAGATTCTGTTTTTAGTTGTTGGTTTCCTTTTTGGGTGTCTGTATGTGTTCATTAAATCAATAAAAGTTACATAAAAAAGTGTTCTTTGAAGGTTCAGATTCAGCTGAGTCAATAAAATTAGGTATGATGGGAAATGTTCAGCTTTCATTGTTTTTTTTACTCAGGGTCTGTCTCTGAAATACTTTTGGTATTGATGGGGTTGCTTTAAGTATGTTGAAATCTTGAAATCCATAGTGATAGATTGTTTACACTCTGTTATCTGACTTGATAATTCTACTAACGTTGGTTTATTGTTAGTAATGGTTGGTGGGGGTGGGGGTCG